ACTGTGAGACACCCGTCCGGGATAATAGATGGCAATACCTGAAGACTTCAGGTAATATGATCCAGATGCATTTACCCTCCCAACTGTGACGTGACATTTCGTTTTAGCTCCAGTCAGCTTTTTTTGTTTCCTTCTATGGCTTTTCATTACGTTTATTGATATTATTTTAGTCACTCAGTTCTTTTTCCAGGGTATTTACTTTAACTGAAGATGAGCGCATGTAGGACGGGGAAAATCAACATTGTAGAACTTAAGTGGATTTCATGAAAAAATATGATGGCTTAAATCTCTCTTTGTATGTTACTTCTATGTTGTCATCATTGACTACTGTTGCCTATATGTGGTCGATTGGATTATGCGGAAAACTGTGGGAAACACAAGGACAGGGGGGGCAGACAACACAGAAAGAGAACTCAACATAGGTCGAGAGGCTCTCGGCGAAATGAATGATAACGGATGACTCTTCACAGATTTCTGCGTCTTCACTTAATTAGTGATTCGAGGTAGCGTGTAAAACCACAAGGACATACACAAAGTAACGTGGATTTCACCTGACAGACACACCACAAACCAGATAGATTTCATCTCAATGCTGCTAAAGGAAGTGGAGACCAAGCCTGCCGAAGACATAGTCTAGGAGGCAAACAGATGCGCGCTCAGACCACTATATAGTTGAGGGAATATTCAGGGTCGAGCTGGAAGCCTTCAAAACAACTAAAGACAGACGGCCTTTCAAGTTCAACACTTAGAAATAGAAGGACAAAACTGTGAAAGATACCTTCACTGCTGCTATCATAGCGGATTTGGGGACACTAGATGGTGTCACTGAGGTCATCTGTGTGGAAGAGCATTGGAACACTCTGAGGGCGGTGTACAACCATTTTAGGAATAGAGAAGAGACAAGGGATGGCTCTCAACGGACAACTGGAAGCTAATAGAAGCGAGGGTTTGGTGAGAGAGAAGATGCAACAAAACAAAAATGGACAACAGAAGGAGAAGCTGAGTTCAATGTACACTGTACTGAATACAGAAGTGAAGAAGAGTGTTAAGAAAGACAAAGGACAATCCTACAACTCACTGGCCGGCAACTGAAACAGAACAAGCAGGCCGCAAGTAAAAGAGACTTTAGGACATTCTATCAGATAATCAGGTCTCTATCCAGAAAGAGATCAACCCAGATACTGAAACCAATAAAAGATGCTCAAGGGGTTCCCGATTACCGTGGAGGTGACAAAAAAAAACAATGAGCTGATCACTTCAAGGGACTTTTGAATAGACCATCACCTGCAGCTCGCCCGGAAATACCACCACTGAAAGCACGCACAGAACAGCCTGCCGGTGAACACCGATCCTCCAACGAAAGCAGAAATCCTGAGTGAGACCAAGCCACTGAAGTCCGGGAAAGCAGCAGGACCTGGCAGAATTCCTTTAGAAGCACCGTAAAGGGAATCTAAGATCACCGGGGATGTACTTATTCCACTGTGACAGAAAGTTTGGAAGGAAGGATAGGTACACACTGATTGGAAGAAAGGTTACCTTATCAGAATACCAAGGAAGGGTGACTTAGGTCTTTACGACAGCTGAAGTGGAATGATGTTCTTGTCTACACCAGACACTAAGTCGCGCCGTCCTGCATAGAATAAAAGATGGATTGGATTCAGAACTCCGCCAGCCGAAACAAGCTGGATTACCGAAAACCAATTCCTGTGGTGATGAAATCGCAACTCTACGCATCGTCGTCTAACAAAGTATAGAATGATGGTCAAATCACTAAGTCAACTTCATGGACTTTCAAAAGGCCTTTGACTGAGAAGTTATTTGGAAACTACTTCAATATCATGCAGTGCCCCGAATCTTTATCAACCTCACTCCAAAGATAAATGAGAATGCCACGTGTCAGGTGACCCACAACGGGAAACTCAGCGAGGCGTTCGAAGTGAATACAGGAGTAAGACAAGGCTGCCTGTTGTCACCAATGATATTCTTAGTTGTGGTGGACTGGGTTATGAGTCAGACTGTGGTGAGCGAGGAGACAGGAATGCGCGGGACCACCGATAATAAGACTCTAGAAGATCTGCATTTCGCGCATGGACGCTTTATGTCTAATTTCATACATACTCGAAGACCTACAGGCGAAAAGCCTGAAGAGTCTAACATAGAACTTCTAGAGGACACAAACAAGACGGAGGTAATAGAGATAACCAACAACAATAACAACAATTAGAACCAATCACTGCCAGCGGAAAAAAATTTGAAAGAGGTCACTCTCTTCATTTATCTAGGCAGCATTGTTCCAAATACAAACGCAGGCACGGACAAGGATGTCAAGACCAGAATCAGAAAGGAAAGTCAGATCTTCATCACTTTGAAGTCACTTTGGAAATCTTCTGCACTCCGCCTCAGCATAAAGAACAAGATTCGGATTTTCAACATCAATGCCAAGTCAGTCAGTTCTTCTATATGGGTTAGAAACTTGCACTGCGTGTCACAAAAAGCATTTCCGACAGCCAACTGCAGACTTTTATCAACAGCTGTCTTCACTCCATATTGAAGATCAAATGGCGGGCCAGAAAGAATCAGCGACAAGAAACTGTAGGAGTGATACAATGAGGGATCTATTGTTCAAAAATTATGCCGAAGAGAATAGAGGTGGATCTGATACACACAGAGGAGATCGTCTGATTCCATTGCGCTTCAGGCCATAACGCGAGTGGAATCCGAATGGGAAACGACAAGTGGGTCATCCGAGGGTGATATGAAGGAGATCATGCGAGGAGGAGATGCGAGAGTATAGGTAATCGTGTATAGGTAATCTCGACTAAAGTCGAGATGTACATCCGAAGCTCTTTGTTCTATTCGGAATAGAAAGGAACAATAATAACAGTAATAATAAAGTTGTCATTGACACCTAGTCGTGTTATTACCAGAGAACTTTGAACAGCACTTTAACAAAATAACAGAGCGTTTACTAATAAATGTTTCACTCCGGGAGTGTCAACAATCTAGAGTTTTTGAAACGGATGACCATTTGAAATATATATATTTTGATTTTTATGTAACTGAAAATTTTGTCTCATTAGTTCAGTGAATAATGCAATACTTTTTAAGATATAGTTTTATGACAAGTGGAAATTTTATCCTAATCCCCCTCTTATAAAAATGTTTCCTATTAGCTTATTATTTTTCACGCATGAGAAATATGCTGTTTTTGCTTTTGAAATTCAAATTGGGTTGAAAAGAAACTTTTTGATTGACATGTAAAAGGCAAGTGTTCAGAGACTGAAACGTGCCTAGTTAATTTTTAAATGATAGTAAAACTTACTCACAAATGAAAATTGAACGCTACATGTTAGTCGTTTACATAAACTCGGAACGAATAGCAATTTAGTATTACTCTAAGACCAGTAGGCTTGAAAAGCATCAGACTTCAAAAAGAGTGTCACCAGAATGTAGCTGTAGCAAATAAACTATGAGCAGATAAATCCAGAGGCTAATTCAGTTTTATAGATTTGATTGACTAAACAGAATAGTTAAGTTGAACATATTTAGCCTTTGTGAAAAACCTGTAGATATATCTTCTAAATCAAAAAGGCTTTAATTGGGACGATGTGCCAAAATGGCAGATGTATTCACTTTATACCATTAATCAGATCCTGAAAATCCTCAGTAATCTTCACTTTAGTATGCGTCGGTGGCACAGTGGTTAGGACTCTCACCGACCATGCACATGGTCCCGGGTTTGATCCTATTCCGACGCACACCTGATATCTATGGTCGGCCTGCAAAATTTAGGTTACCGATATCACATACTGAAAATGCCATACTCGTACCGAAAATACGGTGTGGCATCAAGCTGTAATCAAAATAAAAAATAAAAATCTTGGTCCATTACATTTGCTTTCACCTTTGTGTGTGCAGTTCCAGAGTGTGTCAACTTAATTGCAGTATATTTATAGAAACCTTCTGGCAGAATATGCTTTTCAAATAGATAAAGTAAAATAGTGATATGAGATATCGTATGAGGCAAATTATATCCTTCTCCTTTGACAGATATATCTAGGAAGTTAGAAGTTTCAGATATGCTATTAGTGAACTTCACCTTATTCAAACTAATAAAGCTTAAAGACAGTCAACGAAATCACTTCTTAGAACCCACACGAAATGCCTTGAGTTCGACATCATATTGGATGTTTCGGTGTAGATTATTATTCAAAAAGTTGTTCTTTTCTGTTAGCTATCTTAACAAATATTTGGTGTTGTTGCATATAGTTTGATTACTAGGACTGCTTGTTCCAGTATGAATAACACCACACTGGTATGCATTATAATCTAACTAGTTAGCATCACTTAACAGTGTCCAGCATTCTTTATATAAAACAAAATCTAACAGACATCAGTCGGATAATACTAATTATTTCTACCAATGAAAGAAGGTTTTACCCACATTTATTTCCCTAATAAAGCAATGGTAATTTTCAATAAAAAAAAATATTTACCATGTATCAGAAGTTAAGCTAACAAGTGCTTGAATTTCAATCACAGGAAGCTAAAATCAGTTTCAAGTAGGTTTTTGTGGTAATTGGCGCACCTATTTCGAAGATGTATTTGTAATCTTGAGGTAATCTATCAGTCAGTTACCAAGTCTGTGTTATTGTACTAGTTACCATTCGCCGACAAATTTAAAAAGTGGAACACCTGGTTATTATAAAATTTAACTACTAATAAATGTGTCCTAAACTACCTGTTAAAATACTTCTTTAAAATAGAGGATTAAAAATACTGACAGTATATCCATTCGACCATCAATCAACATAAATAATTCCACTTTAAATTAAACTGAATTTGAAAGAAACAGCTTTAGGGAAACAAGGCAACACACTTTGATGATTCAAAAATGATTTGATTATGTCAATGACAAGACTATGAAAAGTATCTGTAAGCGTGCGCTTGGAGGTCTTAAAAATAAAAACAGAACATATGACAACAAAAAGTTTGCTTACCAATGATAAAATCTAAATCTTGGACGCCAACTTGGTTCCTTTAAAAATCCATTCAACATTGTAGCCAGATTCACAAAACCGTAGCACATCAGAAAGAACCTAGATGAAAAGAAAACACACAGAGAAAAGTCGAAAATTAAAAGCTTTATTACAGCTACTGTCTTCGAATATAACAGAAACAAGCAAGATACACTGAGAAATAGTTTTGGAAATATTATTAAGTTAAGTGTCCCAGTTAGATTTCAAAAAGTAATTGTAAACAAACTGCATAGACTTCAAACAATTCCTAACACTATCCGAAGACTTGTCAGTTTAAAGTTCAGAAAAGGAACTAATTTCTACTGCGGGATTAAGACAGCTGTTTTATTTTTCAAAGACTTTAAATAAAAACTTAACACACACAACAAATATAATGATGTATACATTTAGAAATAATAGAGTGATATAATTACGCGTATGTCAAACACGAAGAAGTCTGAATACTGTGAAAATTAACTAATAAAAATACACGTCAATTTGAAAACTTAGGATTGTTCACATGATGTCATGCTTCAAAAACGCTACGTACAGTAACTATTTCATTTGAACAACATATACGATAGATGACTGAAAAATCGTACATTAAGTCTCACCTGAAAAAGTATTTTGGGATTACTCTCATCCTTAACATAAAATAATATTTTAAAGTTGCTGACACCAAGCTATGTTGAAAAGGTGGGAGAAGCTGTACCTTAGTCTTTCTTTTCACTGTTTGAGTTTTGAGTGGAACACATAGGGCTTCAGGCTTTCAGCCTTAAAGTTTCAGTAGCTGTGATATCATTTTTAAGGATGGGGTTGCTAGCTGCACTCCTGGAACTCCCTCTCTTCTATGCTTACTATCTCTTAGATAGTAAATGAAAAGAGGTTTACGACAAAACAAACGACGAATCGAACCCCCTACCACTGAGGTCAAAGAAGATGTATATTATACTGTATGAATACTTCAACAAGAGACTACTTTTTTACCAAGAGAATGAATATCTATGAGGAGATAAATACAATTGGTTCAGTTAAAATAAGAAAGGCGCGATAATAGTGATTGATAATTCTCCATTTTTCACCTATGTGATGCATTCATGAGAAAATGGAATTTAAGGAAAACAGAGAAAGTTAGAGAAATAACAGATTGGTATTTGATTATATTTCATTGACGTAACAATAATGACCAAATAAAACAAGTGACAGCAAGCAGAGAACCAGAAAGAGGGAAATGAAAGAAACTATCAAGGCATACTTAAAAAAGTTATCAGTGTGCAGTTTAACCGCTTTTTCTTTAAATTTACAGACAAATAAAACTAATGGAATTCAAAAATGAAGAAAAAACGCCGTTGATTTTCAGATAAATACCTTTAGGTGGAGTAATATGTTCACGTGAAGTGAAATTCTTATCGCGAAGCGGAAATATGTGACACAATCAGCTTCACCGAATCTCTATAAAGGGTTTTCTAAATTTAGATTACGTTTAGCATACAACGGTACGTTTGAAGAGTTTATAAGTCGCTGAACTAAACATGAGAGAACATCTACCATTGTTACACACTATTTCCTGCATAAACAACTTGAATACTGGAGATATCGCTTTCAGTTATATATTGACCAGATAAACTGTACAGCATAATCACAGGTAATTATTCAACAAACCCAAACAACATCAGATTCTAAAAGTGATTAAAAATTAGTTAGAAACTAGTTATTTTTAAGAGCTATGTTTAACTTTTTGACAGAAGTAGTCTATTTTCAAGGAAATAGTTTTTCACACAAATCATATCAACGAAACAAAATGCACCCAAGCTTTTGGAATACAATCAAATTAGGACATCTTTAGATCGATTGAGACATTTTAAGTCTTTATCAAGAACAATAGAAGGAAACAATAATCGGCTTAAAGGAGTAGACGACTTTGCGTCTTTTATAAGCTTTCAAAGTTTGTTGCCAAAATTGTATTTTCAGCTAGAGGTAAAAATATAGCCTCATAAATTAAGAATAAATTAATAAATGAACGTTTTCTTACAAGAAGAGAAAGAAGATAGAGTATTTCAATAAGAAATGAAATGCAACATGCAAAGTTAGTAAGAATGAACATCGAGGTTGGCTATTAACTTATTCACACAATATATTTTGCTACTTGTTTCCGGTTTTACACACCAGTGAATTAAATTGTTCACTTTCCGTTAGTATATGTTCATTTTAAAGGGTGGACTTATTATTGCTTGGAAATTCATTTATTTGTAATTTCACCACAATTAGCAGTGAAATGTAGAGCTCACTTCATGCTATCTGTTGGACTACTTACCTAAACGCATTTTTATCGAAGTAAAGAGATACTGTGTCTCATGAGACTCAAAACCAGCACGAAATGCTGATCATCGATTTAACTAATAATGACTACCAAAGAAATAACAACATGTCTCAAGTACGACAGGGACAGATCAGCGAAGTTAGTGATGGAGATTCAGGCAAAGATACAAAAGAAGTGGGTATGGTGGTTAACCAGCTTGGTTAACAGCACATAGGTGTTTCAAGGAACAGCTGCTGAGCTTCAGTGATAATGATAACACGATTACTTTACAATATGAAAGTGCGCTGGACTATGGAGTCACAAACAGAAAGAAACAGGTTATAGACTCTATCAGTAGCCACTTTTACAAAGATCGCCCGTGAAATGAAGGAAGAAACAGTGTTCAGCTGTTAAATTTCCCTAGTTCAAACAGATTTTAACCTGAATTCCGGCATTATACATTAGTTGGATTAAATTTTAACCATTTCACTTAACAAGTATTCCTTATTCGTTTTTGGTATTCGCCTGACCGAGTATTTTTTATATATATATTTTTTTTGATTTACAGCTTGATTCCACACTGTATTTTTGATACAAGTAGGGAATTTTTAGCATGGATATCGGTAGCCCAAATTTTGCAGGCCGACCATAGATATCAGGTGTGCGTCGGAAGGGGATCGAACCTCGGACCATGTACATGGTCGGCAAGCATCCTAACCACTGTGCCACCATTGCTGGGCGTCGAATATCTATGCATAACAGTCCCATCAGTAGTAACTCCTTAGAGTTCCTTTTTCAATCAGACAAGAATTACAGACTAACTTATAGACTACAGTTCGATGATGTCCACTGAATGCTTTTGGTTCATGACAAAATATAATCCAAAATAAACAGATTTACTCGGTTAAGGACAGTAAAGTGTAGACAGACTCATGTAAAGTGAATTGTACAACGTAGATTTACAAATGTATATTTAATAGTTTGTGGCTCATGTGCGTCAACGGATCAAAAAGACACACATTCATTATGGGGAGACAGTAGCGGTAGTAGTAGTAGCGTAATTTCTAGTTATTTCGTTTTTGTCTTTCTCTTGGTAAAGCAATTATTTTATTTTATATGAATGACAATCGTAATTAGCCTTTTCATTAATCATCAAAAGATAGTGATAAAAGGTAAAAACAAATCAAAATTATACAGAAACCCCAAAGTGTCCTAGTGTACTCTGTCCTAGGACTTTAGAAATAATCAAAATAAATTTATTTTACAAATAAATAAATAAAGAATAATAACGTGAAGGATAATCGAAATCTAATGGATCTGGGAGCATGTAAAAAGTAAAAAAAAGCTTTCAGTCATGTTACCAACAATCTGCAGTCATTGATTGTTAGAAGTGCAAGAACTCCAGCCAGGCACTTTCCCTATTCCTAAATGGCCCTAACCAATATTTTAAATAATTCATCAATCAGTGGCATTTTTTCGTTGGCCATCCTCTGCTCTTTCACAAATGAATTGCTTTTCATATAAAGTGGTTTGACACATGGTCTAGCCATCTGAATCGATGCAGTTTCACAACTTCATAGTTTGGCGTCACCTCCTTACTTAATACTCTACACCTAACCCTATTATTGATGACAGTAACACACCACCTATCACATGACACTGAACACAGACACTTTTGGCCAGAGACTAGTATTTTCACCTCTTCCGCTTTAAACGGTTAAGTCTCACAGGGTGCCACAAAGTACACATATCCTTTAAAGAATAAGCATATATCATGCTTGTGCTTAGGATGGGCAGCTGGGTAAATGCCAAACTAGACTTTTGTATCCATGCTGAGACTTCATTTGTAGTCTGTTCATAAGAGCTAACGCAACTGTAAAATAGGTGAAGTGGTTAGAAAAAAGGAACAAATGAAATATTGTGATTGCATTTGTCTGTCGGTTCAGATGTCATCCGGGTGGTCGGCGCGGAGAACGACCGTTTAATTTGATCACATGATAGCGATTTGTGCGACTGTAACTGATAACAGGTTTGATCACGACCTGAAATCAGTTGAAGAACCACTGAAAAACTAGGGAGCACTGCATATTTGTTTTGTTCTAGTTTGGTACTCTTTAGTAGTACGCACCCACCGGGGTTCGGACTGACAAATCAGGTCCACACGCTAGTTATTTTTCAAGATTCTAAGGCTTATAACATAAATCTATTCAATTATTAGGCGACTGCACGTCAATAAACACCTATAGCTTCCCTGAATAAAAAGGCACTAATGTATTCTGTAGGGCAGAATTCAGGTGGATGCATATGTGAGTGGCTGTCTGGGTTACATATTAAGTTTCTTTTGATTAATATGAGGGAAAGTTTTCCTCGAGGATATATCACAGAATGGGAATATGGAAAATTAGCACGCAATTACAATCATGCTAAGAAGTTCACAGTCGCAAAAACAACAACAAACAACCGAGATATGTGATAATGGAAATATTGAAAAAGTGACAGTATCCGGTTAACTGCTAGACCATCCAGATATATACGATAGTAAATTACTACAGTTTGAACATAATCATCCAAGTGCAGTCCAGTTACCTAGCAAAATATTTAGCCAAACAGATCAAGTAGGTAAAAGGTCGGTGACATATCAACGGTATGAAAGTAGTTGCAGAAATGTAGTATGAAGAGGAGGAATATCAGCATGAAAAGCACTAGTACCTGTAGTAAAACTGATGATACAAGTCTTGATGACGTTTCAGACTTAGATTAATGATAAAAAATAGTGAGAATG